CACAGCCGACTCAAGACCACTGGTGAGCATCATATTATTTTGATTTAGACTACTCTACGCTAATCTACGCTAGGCTAGATCGCCGCTTTTTCGGCGACATCTCTTATAGCTGCTAATGGCGAAGATCTAGGCTACGCTAGGCTAGATGATATTACATGGTGTGACGCGGCGTTACGGGGCAGGCGTTTTCCTGATGGTCTAGAATGCGTTATCGGAGGTTGATTTCATGGAGCAGTTTGGTGACGAGGTCATGAAGCAATATGACATACCTTCGCAGCAGGAGCTCGACGAGATTGCTGCATACGATGCCGATGGATCGGGCTCGGAGGATGAAGAGGGCTCGGGGGACGAAGACGACGAGTAGGTGATGTATGAGCTAGTAGAATTTTGCGCATAGTGTCTATATTATATATCAGTACTCTCTCGTAAATAGAGCTGGTCCTCACACATCTGTGGTGCACAAAGAGATCACTGAAAATGTGCTGCCCAATAATTACACCGGGTATTGAAAGTTAGCAGGGCTTCGGGCAAGCAGACATGTACCAAATTAATAGATGTGAGGTGCAGAGAGAGAGAGACATCTGTGACATTGCATAGTTGAGCAAGATGGACGAGCTTGGGAGAGGAGTGCCCGCGCAATTGCTGGGCTTTGCGCGGGCAGTTCAAACAATCACATGCGGGTGTCACGGTGTCGGAGTCGCGCGACACAACTCGAGCTTCATGAGACGGCCCGCGCAAGCTTCGAAGACTTCCTTGTCACTGCTCCCTCACCTCCTTTTCCTCGATGCCAATCTGTGTATGTGGCCTATGTCGGAAGAACCACACAGTCACTATATATGGAGTGACTCAACCTGGTCAGGAGATCACTCATGCAGTTCGCACCAAACACGAACGCGCGGAAGCCCAAGATCCTCGCACCGACACCCAACCAGGTATACCAGACAACGCTGAGGATCTGGTTTGGAAAAGTGCATGCTTTATGCTTTGACTAACTTTCAGAACTGACTGAGATATAGCTCTTACTCAATCTATGCCCATCCTCACAAAACTATGCTGCACACTCATCATCTGGCTGCATCTACATGTTGGACTCAGCCGTGAGGTGGCTAACATTGTGCTTCGGTCGTTACGCCTGATCTTGATTACTGTCTTCACATTACTCTCACTTGCCTTGCGCAATACTTTGGCCATCAATATACGCCTTGCTCCTCCCGAGATCCCAAGCGATGTCCGCACAGCTATGAAGTTGAGACGCCTTGAGCCTCAGATCTTTCGAACCATGTGCTGCCCGAAGTGCTTCTGGATCTATGGAAATGACACTCCAGAAGAGTGTACATGGCGAGAGTCGCCTAGGTCCCGCCAGTGTTGTGAGCCATTATGGACCACTCAGCAGACCGACGATGGTCCGAAGCGCGTTCCCCGACATCTATATACAACACAGTCTCTAGATGACTGGCTCGCCTTCTTTCTCGGACGTCGTGTAATCAAGGATGCCCTCCGGCAAACATGTCAAAGCTATCAGCAGGCTCGTAACGTCTCTCAGCCCGAAGCAGTGCATGACGTACATGAGAGTAGCGCCTGGCGCGACCTTCACGGAGGATTCATCACTCCATATAATCTCATCTTTGGGGTCTATATCGATTGGTTCAATCCCCTCACAAACCGCATAGCTGGTAAGTTGTACACATTCCTGAACATCAGTTGATTGCTCACCAGTGTCAGAAAAACAGGTCTCGTTCGGTGTCATTGTCCTCTATTGCTTGAATCTGCCAGCCCATATGCGATTCAAGCCTGAGAACACATTCATTGCTGGCATAACTCCGGGTCCGAAGGCACCTAATATGATAACAGTCTCGCATGTTCTCAAGGTTGTGATGCATGCCATCACTCGCTTTTCCCCTCCCAATAGACGAGCTGTTCCCACATTCTATCATCCTCTCGGTACCATAATACACCTTCTTATTGCACCGCTCATTGCAGACATCGAGGCGGTACATAAGGCTGCAGGATTCAAGACACACGCAGCCAATATGTTTTGCACATTCTGTGACCTTCCATCTGCACACATTGAGGAGCTTGATCCAGATACCTGGCTGTTGCTGAACGGCGCGACCTGTCAGCCGTGTGCAACGGGCCACGTGTGCGCACCTAGCGCAAATACGCGTTTTCGTCTCTCTCCCTCCCTCAGTTGCTTAGAACCGCACTGAGGGTACGTCTTCCATATTATTATACGTACTATACAAATTACTTACATGAGCCTCAGAGCGCGCCTCGTTTGTATAGGTACGATAGGAATATAGTTGCTTAGAACCGCACTGAGGAGCGCGCCTCGTTTGTATAGGCGTTAACAGGTTATGAGCTTATCGCGGTAGATCTACGATCCCGCCGGCTCCCCAGAGCTCTCTAATGGCATCTCGACCTACTTCTCTGTCTACTACCGCCGGCGGGCAGCTAGGTGGCCCTTCGGCCTTCCATGGATCGACCGGCGGCGCACTTAATCAGACTTCTGCTGCTTCCGTTTCTCCCGCGCAAGGCACCGCCTCCGCTTCCAATCCGCAATTGTCGTCGTCACAAGCACAGCAGTCCGGTCCTGTACTTACAGCCGAGGAAATAGCCGCCGCCACGAAAGTCGAGGCAGCACGTCTAGAGGCACGGGCGATGGACATCAACATGAACACTGTCCGCATCCCGCGCATTTCCTTACGCGGCGTCGATCTCACAAATAAGCTCGACTTCGCCCACCCGGCGGGAACATGGCATACCTGGGCCGAGGAGCTGCAGGAAACCCTCGGGAAAGTCGGCGGCAAGCGCTTCCTCACCGGTGAATGGCTCATGCCCGATCCTGCCTGGGAGCCAGCCTCGCACAACAACTGGACTCTGGGCAATGAAGCGGTCCTCTCCGTGATGCTGTCCTCCCTTCACCCTACCGACAAGGACTGGATACGCAGCTCGTTCAAAGGCGAACCGACGGCTCATCTGGCTTATCGCGCACTCGCGATGCGTTATACGCAATGCGGCACTGCGGCGCAAATCCGCCTTCTCGTGTCCGCTCTCGAGAGACTCTTTACAGCCGGCACGTCTCACCTAACCACGCTCACGAAGATCTGTCGTCAGTAGGAGGCGATATGGGCTCAAGGCGCCGTCACCGCCGACTCGTTCGCTCTCCTGCTCGCGCACAATGCGATGCAGGGCGCGCTCAGCAAAATTCGGGGAGAATGCGACTCCGTCATCGCACAAGACAACTTCTCGATGGCATACCTCGAAACACGTCTTGCGACGATTGACAAGACCGCGCGGAAGTCGTCCAATACTTCTGCAGTACCCGAGCCCGCCGAAGTCGCGCTACCCGCTACGACTGCCCCCGCTCGCACGCAACCTAAATCGAATTACTGCTGCGAAAATTGTGACCGGACATCGCATCCGACGCAGTTCTGCGTGAGGAAGGGTGGAGGATATGACGGATGGTCCGTTCAAGTTGCGCGCGATGCACAGGCAGCTTGGGAGCAAGGGAAACCGGTGCCGCCGCGTCCTGCAAAGAAGAAGGAGCAGGCGACCGGAGGAGCTCAGGCGCACGTCGCCAGCCAACCACAATACCCACCGCATATGCCGCCGCCATTCATGCACCCGCAGTACGGGTACCCGCAGTATCCTACATATGCGCAGTTCGCATCGCCGACGTCTCCGGTACCACCCACACCGCCCGCACAGCATTATCATCCCGCCGCGTTCGCTGCTTATCAACAGCACTATCCTGTCCCGCCGCCACAAACTCCGATGGGAGCGCAAAATTATACGGGAACGGGCTATTCAATGCCTCCGCCGGGTTTACTCACGGATGCACCACCGCCGCCCGGGTCATACTGGCCGCACGCGAGTTTTATCGCAGCTGGAGCGCCGGTTATCCCATTACAGCCGCCTTGCATTGAGACGGACAAGTCGTTCGCGTTGTTCCATGAATGCCCATATGCGCGTGTCGATTGGCGTAACTTTACCCGGATCCCAGATGCCGTGCAGGCATACGCGGCGCCAGTCTCGACCACTGGGTCTCGTTTGCCATTGTCGTTGGCCGACAATCCATTCTTCTTGGACTCTGGTGCTACTGCACATATCAGTCCCGAACGCAGCGACTTCATCGAGTTGGCCGCGATTACACCTCGCCCAGTCGCAGGAGTAGGAGGCTCAGTCATCATGGCCACCGGCATGGGTACCATACGCCTCAACATTACACGAGGTCATCAACTCGTCCTGCACAATGTTCTCTTCGTTCCGTCAGCATCAGTCCACCTCATCTCCGTTCTCGCCCTAGGTGTCCATAGCAACTTCACAGCGCACTTCAACAAGTTAACGTGCTGGATCACCGACCACTCTCAACGCCTCATAGTCTCCGGCACGCTCTTCCGCAACCAGCTTTACGCCTTACGCCTTGCACCATCAGTCACGACCGTTCACGCATTGCCTGTCCGTACCCGCTCGCCCGATATTGAGACCTGGCACGGTCGATTCAGTCATGGCGCACCACATCGCACCGTTGTCGAAGCTGCTCGTTGTCGCACCCTACTAGGTATGTCCTTGGACACTACTGTTGACCCTGCCTTATGTGAACACTGCATACAGGGAAAGCAGACTCATGCATCATTCCCGAAGACGCATGAGGGTCTAAGGGCAACTAGGAGGCTGGAACGAGTTAGTGTAGACTTAGCCGGCCAGGATGGTCCTGTATCGCGTTCCGGTCGTATTTATAAAATGCATATTGTCGATGATTATTCGAACATGGCATGGCTGTTCACTCTGTGAGAAAAGAGCGAGGCACTGCCCGCTCTTATGCACTGGGTCGCGGTGATCGAACTGAAGACGGGCGAACGGGTCAAGGCAGTCTTATCGGATTGCGGAGAGCTGGATTCGGTCACGTATCGCCATTGGGCTGACGCACGAGGGATCGACTATCAGTGGACGTCGCCAGAGGGATCGCCGCAGAATGGGATAGTCGAACGGATGCACCGTACCCTAAACGGCCGTACTCGCGCAATGCGCATTGCAAGTGGAGCTCCGCCCAACTTCTGGGACGAGTACGCGCACACAGCCGCATATCTGCACAACCTCACACCACTCGAACGATTTGGGTACCGCACCCCATACGAACTGTTCCACGGCAAACCACTGGATGTCTCCCATCTACGGGAAATCGGCTGCCAAAGCTTTGCACTTACGCTAGGCAATAACCCAAAGGCCTACGCACGGTCGATTCCTTGCAAACTCATCGGATATGCTCCACACAGCAGAGCGTGGAGACTATGGTACAAGGACGCGCGCGGCCACAGTCGGATCTTCGAATCAATACATGTGGAGTTCATCGAAAGCCACAATGCCGTCAGTCGCATACGTCCACGCAGCGGCTTCGTACCTCCAGTCGCCGGTCCGACCGAAGACCCATTTGCAGCTAATGGACATGTTGAGTCGCACCGTCCACGCCCCACTCCAATGTCGCGCATACAAGATGTATCAGAGGAGGAGGAGGCAGACTATTGGCAGCAGGATGAATCGGGAGAGTTCCGCTTCGCTGAGGAGGAGCAACCAGCAGCGGAGGAGGAGATGGACCAACCACAGAACATACAGCCGCCGCAGCTTGAACCTCCTACACGTACACCAGCACCGACACAGCCATCAATACCACCTGAACGCACTTCGAGACCTCGCCGCAATATCCAGACCGATGCCCAACGCCTTCAAGCAGCTATCGAGGCATCCGCGCAATCTGCAGAACGGATAGCAGCCGGAAGAGCGGAACGCAGGGCCGCACGAGAAGCTACATCACAACCCGACCCTATCCCACTGGCAACGCTCATGCATAGGGCCTACGTTTGCGGATACGAGATAGTGTCCGATGAACCTATCCTATCCAGCATGTCACCACAGGCGTTCGAGCAGTTGGCGCGGGCCCTTGCGGCTTCAGGAGGTCAGGCAGTCGAGTTGGATGCATCAGAGAGCGACCCAGCTAGTTGGAAGGCTGCCATGGCCGGACCGAACAAAGCTCATTGGTTCGGTGCTGGAGGCAAGGAAGCGGTCAGTCTGAAGGAACGGGATGTCTACGAGCTGGTTCCACGAAGTGCTGTGCCAAGAGGCCGAAGAGTCATGCGAGGAAAGATGGTCCTGCGCTTGAAAGGGGATCAAAACAGTCAGCCCGTACGCTTCAAGGCACGATACGTTGTTCAAGGCTTCATGCAAGTGGAAGGTCGAGACTTCAACAAGACGACTTTGCCGACCGCACGACTTGAATCACAACGACTTGTACTCAGCATCATGGCGACGTACGGTTGGGTTGGCGCTCAGTTCGACGTCTCTACAGCATTCTTGTATGGCGAACTTGAAGATGGCGAAGAACTCTATGTTGAACAGCCCACCGACTTTAAGGAACCGGGCAAGGAGGATTGGGTCTGGCGCTTGAAGAAGGGCTTGTACGGGTTGAAGCAAGGCTCAAGGGTGTGGAATCGTACACTGAACACAGCACTCGAAGGATGGCAGTTCAAATGGCTGGATTGCGAGTGGTGTGTCTACTATCGCAACTCACCCACCGGCCAATCCGTCATCGTCGTACATGTCGACGATATGACGGGTGCATTCTCCTGCAAGGCCGAACGCGATCGCTTCGAAGCAGAACTCCGATCCATCTGGCAAATCACAACCTCCGAGCTCGTATTCGGTCTCGGGATAGGCATGACACGAGATCTGGCTGCCCATACTATCGCTCTGGAGCAACACGCCCTTATCGACCGCATTATTGCCGAGTACGCACCAGATGCATTGGCCGTCTCCACACCCACGCGATCGGATGTCAAATTGCACAAGCCTGACCCAAACGAAAGACTCACGCCAGTTGAACAGTCTGCGCTGGATGCCCTTCCATACAGACCTCTGGTTGGGTTACTGCAATATCTTCTTGCCGGTACTCGCCCAGATCTTGCTTATGCCATCTCAGTTCTATCATCTTTCATGAACTGCTACCGTGTCGAGCACTGGAACACTGCCCTTTGGACGGTTCGATATCTCAAAGGCACTCACAACTTGAAGTTGGTTCTTGGCGGCATGACCCCGATACGACTAGTCGGGTACACGGACGCCAGTTTTGCAGACTGCCCGGATACTCGCTGCTCAACTGGAGGTTACGCGACCTTCTTGAATGTTGGTGCAGGACCAATCTCATGGGCGTCACGCAAACAACTCGACACGGCCAATTCGACGTGCGTGTCGGAGTATATCGCAGCGCACGATGCAGCAAAAGAGCTCGTGTGGCTTAGAACACTACTAAGCGAACTTCGCCTGACGCCAATCGGACCAACCCCTCTATTCTGCGACAACAGCGCTGCTGTGACTCTAGCTGGCGACCAAGCGTTCCACAAGAAGGTCAAACACGTTGCCGTTCGGTACCACTATCTACGTGAATTGGTGCATCGCCAGCAAATCGTTGTAAACCACGTCTCCGGAAAGTCAAACGTCGCTGATATCTTCACCAAGCCTCTGGGACCTGGTCCCTTCGAGCGCTGTTGAGACATGTTGGGTCTCCGGTGATTTGTATATCCCTCGCGGTGTTTCGGTTGAGGAGGAGATAGGGTTGTTTTCGCAGTCCCCACATTTTGTTTGTTCACTCTCGCATCGGACGGACTCTATTCATACGATCCCCTCGCGATCTGACTCACCCACATCGTGCTCCCGTTGAGGAGGAGTGTTGCTGAACGGCGCGACCTGTCAGCCGTGTGCAACGGGCCACGTGTGCGCACCTAGCGCAAACACGCGTTTTCGTCTCTCTCCCTCCCTCAGTTGCTTAGAACCGCACTGAGGGTACGTCTTCCATATTACTATACGTACTATACAAAATACTTACATAAGCCTCAGAGCGCGCCTCGTTTGTATAGGTACGATAGGAATATAGTTGCTTAGAACCGCACTGAGGAGCGCACCTCGTTTGTATAGGCGTTAACACTGGCACAAGCGCACTGGCCAGCAGGTCCGAGAACAGGCTGAACACTGGTGTGGTCTTACGACCAAAACGGAAAAAGAAGCGCAGGCAAAGACTACTGGTGTCCGCTGGACTCCATTCTATCAACTCGCGTCATGGGATCCTGTCGTTCATGTCATCCTTGGCTATATGCACAACTGGCTTGAGGGCATCTTACAGCATCAGCTACGTGTGTGCTGGGGAGTTGGGCCCAAAAAAGACAACACGGCATCCTCGGACGCTTCGGGTGCAGCCTCTGATGCATCAGAGGCAAGTAGCCACTCTCGTTCATTACACCATCCTTCCGAAGCCAACAGTCCTCCCCCCTTCCACACCACCAGATGACATCACGCCCCGTGCTGTACCTCTGACACTTCGTCCTGAGCACTTGGACAGTGATAGTGAGCATGAGGGCTCCGATGATGAGGACGATGTCGAGATCTTGATGACCGGTTTTGGCACGGCGCCCACATCTTCTCACGGGCCATTTGAGTTTACCCTGGCAGAGTTACTGTTGATCCGATGGGCCATCTCTCATGTCTCGCTTCCATCTTGGGTTGGTAGCCCACCATCTAATCTCGGAGAGAAGAGCCATGGAAAGCTGAAGGCTGATGTCTACCTCGTTCTCTTTGCATACATATTTCCACTCATCATTCCTGAGATATGGTGGCTATTTCCCGAAGCATAGATCAACGAGAGCTACTCGACAGTTTCTACCATCTTATGGTGGCTACATTTGTTGTCATATCGTTCACAACAACGGAGCACAGTTGTTCCCTCTATCTGTACCACTATGTCCACTACCGGCATTCCCTACAAAAGCTGTTCCAATTCCCATCCAAGCCTAATCATCACTATGCCATGCACAACCCGGACATCATGAAGTATTGGGGCCTGCTAGCATCACTCAGCGAATTCGCTGGTGAACGTTTGAATGGCCGTCTACAAAAGACCAAAACGAATCATCACATGCGTAGGTGTAACTTGTTTTTTGAACAATATCGAGTACTTACAGTCAACAGTTGACATGGACTACACGATGCTACACAAGGCGTGCAAGCATGCGCGTCTACAAGCCGAACTACAGGATGCAGCCTCTGGGGCTACCGAGGGAGATCCACTCTCAGAACTTGCTGTCATTCTCAATGGCGACACACCAAGTTCGGTTGATGCCTCCCATACAGACAACACCTTGCTCAATGGTGTTCAGCTCGCAGAGTTTCTTGCGAAAGCACCAAGACTCGATGATGAGCTCTATGACCTGATACTCAGATTTGTGGCTACCTTACAGTCCATCCAGTCCTGCAGGCATCTCCCTTCTCGGCCCGGTGTCCCCATCCTTCCCCCACATGCGAAGCGGCTCCGAACCCTTGCCATCGGTGGGCGACCATACAGTGATCAGCTCCACCACAAAGGGAACAGTGCGGTACAGTTCTGGAACTCTCATCAGAACCAGCAACGTACCGGCTTCATCCAGTCCATTTGGTCTATTCCGATTGAACGCAGAGTCCAGAACTTCATCGTTGTCACCCCGCACATTGCACTTCCTGACCATGATGAGCGCCGGACACCCTACGAACATTACAAGTTACTCAAGACACGGGTCTTCGAAGATGCACTATCTCTACAGCTGATTGTGCTTGAGACAGAGCATATCTTATCCCACGTTACGACATTGCGGCGACCTGCACGTACATACAGCATTCCCCGCCCGATACTCATAGTCTGCTGGGCACTGAACCGGGACCGATGAGGAAGCAAGGCTGCTGTTTGCATTTGGCCATGTCTGGGCAAGGGCAGCTTTCAGGCGGACATGGTGGTGTTGAATATTGGTGCTGTGGTTGGTGTCGGAGGCAAAGGACGTGACGCGCTTTGCTCGCCGCGGATTGGCGTGTCGTCACCGTTTATATACCAGGTAATTGATGAGCACGGACACACGAACGTCCCTGGCAACTTTGTATATACAATCATGCAGCAATACACTGAGACAGGTGCAATGTAGGCCGAAACAGGTTGTAGCGTAAAGCCCGACTCCGGCGGCCCAAGCATTGTCATCACCTGCGAGCTATCTGAACGTGTTGTGCCACGCGGACTCGATTGACAGGTGTGGGGCTGTTCGCCTTGAAGGGGACGCGCAAGCGGCACTCTCAACAGACGTGCAAACGGCCTTGAACGAACGGCCACGGCGCGTGCCCGTGGTGTGTCGAGCTCACCCTCTCCTTCTCGGCCTCTAACCTGGCCTCCGCCCTTGACAACCTCTCCACCACATTGGTTCAACCGCCGCTGGCGCCACCGATGACCACCGCTACGAGCAATCTTGGCGCAAACTTACTGCCAACCACCAATCTGCCAGCTTTACCCGCAATCACTCCTGCTAAGCCCCCGGTGCACCGCAGCTTGGTCTCTGAGACTCCCCACGCTCCGCATATTCCAACGGGCTCTCGCTACAATCCTCTCCTGCCACCGCTGTCACCCTCAACATGCCTAGCCCAGCTCCGCGCTCCACTAACCACACCCACTGATGCGCGGAATGCGATCTGGGACCTACTAAGGTGTCTCCCGCCACACTCGGTTTTGCCTCCCCGCCCGTCTTCTGTACCCCGCCCTGCTGAGCCACTGGTCTTCTCACACCACTCTCGTTCTGCCTCCTCGTCTTCTTCTTCCTCGTCTTTGTTTTTGTCCTCTATCTCGACCGACTCCATGTCTGACTTCAAAGTCCTGTATCAAGCTCTGGAAGGCCAATCCTCCGTCATCCAGGATGGCCACAAATAATGCCCCGTTCTCGGGAAAGGCAACACCAGCCCAAAGGGGTTCCGCGCGTGGCGCGAAGCCCTGGAGGAGAATTTCTTCCCCACTGCTAAGATCATCACTGATAATGACAAGATCAGCACCGTTATTGCCTCGGGCATCACCAACGAGCGCCTCTGCTCGCTTGTTTGGACCAACCGCACCGTCCTCATCAACCTCACCTGGGAGAAGTTTATCCGCTGGTGCAACAAAAATGTGCTCACTGGTGATTGGGATCTCTCCATCCGCGAGAGCGTTACTCACGCCAAGCTCAACGACGGTGCCGACTTCCAGCTCTTCCTCGCCACCATCGAAGAGCTCAACGAGCTCCTCAAGGACTCCACACAAGGCTCATACTCCAACAAAGCCATCCGCTTTTACGTCTACCACACCCTCTATCCCAAACTTTGCCAGGAGGTTTATAAGCAGGAACTTCACACTGCGCCATACATCCCCAAGAACATTCTGCACTTCAATCTGCTCTACGCGGACCACCTCCAAATTGCCTGCGAGCTCCGGCAGATGACCGAGGATGAGGTGGCTGTTTCCGCCGCCACCGCCAAAGACAACTTCCCTCTTTGCGCAAACTCTCCTCCACCTCAGTCATTGGGTATCCCGCTCCAAGACCGCATCACCGACCTGCCGCCAAGGAAGCCCACACTCACTAGCTGCATCAGTGTTGGCTCGCTCCTCAACTGCATCGGCAACAAAGCATGGTTTCCGATCTACCTCTGGGGCAATGCCATCGCCTACCTCCAGGAGTGCCTCAAAAACTACACCAACTACGCCGTGGGCAAGGCGGTCAAGCTCGCTAAGGCCCACGGCAACAAGCCCTACTCCCGCCTGCCCAAGGCTGGCAAGAACACTGCCAACTTGTCCAACACTAACACCAGCTCTGGCACCAGCTCCAGCTCCGGCACTGGCAGGGGCCACAGTGCACCTGTTTCCCCCCTCAAGGACTCGGAGTGCGCTATCATCTGCAACAACCGCGGGTGCACCCGCTGCCGCCCGCTCTTCATCTACACTCTTGGCGACCACGACCGCAACAACTGCCCTTGGCCAGCAGGCGGCGACGCGTACCAGGAGATCACTCCGGCGTACGCGCGCAAGATCTTTGCCCAGCTTGTCAAGGCCGGCAACACCAACCTCCCTCCGCTTAAGCTGGAAGGTCTCCGACCCATCGGCACCCAGTCCGCTGCCATTGAGGTGGTGGACCGCCAGGATGCTGCCAACAACGTCAACACCGTGTACCTCGGCATTGATCCCGACGTCAAAGAAGGCATCTACATCACCAACTCTGGCTTCTACAACACACAGTACGTCCACGCTTACCCTTCCCCTTCTGGGTTTGTGGATGTGGACCATGTTTGTGCTTCTTGTCATTTCTGTGCCGCCCAAGACCTGCGGCGTACTCTCCAACTCCATTGTCTGTGCCGCCATCACCGCTGGTGTCGGTTATTGGCACGCTCTCTCTCATTGTCTCGATGACACCTCTGCCTCGCCTCTGCTCTCCAAGCCGCTTCTCACCTCTCCCTTTGCCCGTGCCCGCTCTCGTCACTCTCGCCCTGTATCCCGTGTGCCTGTGAACTGCCTTATTGACAACAGCTTGCAGGTAGGTGTCCTCATACACCTGTCCACTGCACATGCGCTTGGGTTTCCAGAAAGAATGGGGAGTATTAGAGCAGCCACTGAGGGTTAAAGGAGCTTTTGCAAACGCAGTACTATTAGACTCTTCCTTGCCAAATGCATCACCTTCTTCTTCCTCACCGTCTGTGCGCTGTAATTGTTACAGTGATGTCTCTTTTGAATTGAAAGACAAATTCTTTGTGTCGCACTCTGTGTGCTGTGTGATCAGTCCCAAGTCCCTGTGCGCTCCGGTCATTCTCAGACAGTCTTTCCTTGCCACCAACTGCCTCGTCTACAACACCAAAGATCACACTTTCTGGTCGAAAGACACTGGCTACGACATCCTCCATCCCAACGCTCCACTCTACCTTGAACAACACTTCGTTCTACCGCCACTCCCAACCGCCCAGGACCGCGAGTGTGTGCGTGCCACACAGGACCAACACTACCACGAGGCGTACAGCGTGCATGTGTCTGCTATAAACAGCACTCTGGCCGACGCTCGCAAGAACATTGACATGCTCTACGAGCCCTGCATCTCCACACTACAAGACTTCCTGCCGGCTATTGACGCCCGCATTGCCACCATTGCCTACAATGACCATTCCGCGGAACTCGACGTGCACTACAAGACCCAGTATGCTAGCGTTTTTGCATCTATTCCGCATGCATCCCAGCTTCCCACCGACATTCTGCACTCCATCATGCTCAAAGACACTCACACCACTATCCACCACCACTCGTACCGCACACCCAAGCAGTACAAAGCCATGTTCGAAGCTCTCCTCGGCAAAAACATCGTGTCTGGCTGCATCAGGCCCTCCACCTCTCGCTTTGTTTCTCCCAGCTTCCTCGTCAACAAGCCTGACGGCTCCAAACGTCTCGTCATTGACTACCGCCAGCTTGACAAAAATACCGTACCCAACTCTTGTTCTATGCTCCTTGTCAATGACATCCTACACGACTGCGCACTCAGCAAGATCTGGGGCAAGCTCGATATGACGGCCGCGTTCCACCAGACGCGCATGGACCCCGCCTCCTCACAGTACACCGCCTTCAAAGCTTGTAGCCATGTCTGGGAGTCAAGCGTCATGCCCATGGGTGGACGTAACACTCCTGCGGTGCAACAGCGCTGCCTCACCATTGCACTTGGCGACCTTGTCGGCAAGATCTGCCATGTTTATCTCGACGACATTGTCATCTGGTTACAGTCACTCGCCAAACACCAAGAAAATGTCGCCAAAGTCCTCGCTGCCCTCGCCAATGTGGGCCTCTACTGCTTGCTCAGGAAGTCCACTCTCTTTGCCGACTCCATCACCTTCCTTGGCCACCGCATTTCTCACCGTGGCATTGAAGCCAACGGCTCCAAATGCAAACGTGTTCTTGACTGGCCAGTACCCAAGAACACCAAAGATGTCTGCTCCTTCCTTGGCCTCGTCCACTACATTGCCGACTTCCTCCCTATTCTTGCCAAGTACACTCGGATTCTCACCCCACTCACTATCAAGGCCGCTGAGCGCACATGGCCTGGCTGGCAAGATCATCACTAGCGCGCTTTCGACACCATCAAGGACCTCGTTGCTAGCCGTGATTGCCTCACCTCTATTGACCACTGCAACCCCGACAACGACAAGATCTTTGTCACCACCAACACTTCTGACTGGCGCTGCAGCGCTGTCCTCTCTTGGGGCGAGACCTTGGAAACCGCTCATCCCGTTGCATTCAACTCCGTTCAGTTCAAGAGCGCTGAGCTCAACTACGCTGTTCACGAGAAGGAAATTTTGAGATATGTACGGATCACTGCACGCTCGAAAACTTCAAGACTCAACCTCACCTCTCTCAGCGCCAGCTTCGCTGGGCAGAAACACTCTGCAACTTTGGCTATGATCTCATCTATATCCCCAGTGAATTGAACACTGTGGCCGGCGCTCTCTCTCACCTGCCCACTGACCAATTGGTCAATGCACCCGCGCCCTTTGTCACTTCTATTGCCCTTGCACTCTGGGACGATGAACCGCCTGACATTGATGACAACGCTACCGCCACCGCTGTCCTGGTACTCCACACCTCTGCTGACTTCATGGCCCGTGTCAAATCTGGCCCGGCATGTGCTCAGACCTCGAGTGTTCCTATCTGCTGAGCTGCAACGCTTGCCAGCGCAACAAGTCACCTACCACCAAGCCTGTTGGACCTCTCCACCCTCACTCTGTCCCCGACACTTGTGGCAACTCCGTCACCATTGACTTCAATGGGCCCCTTTCACCGTTTGGCCCGGAGAACTATGACTTCCTGATGACTATGACCAACCGCGCCAGTTGCAACATCCACGCCGTCCCCTACCACAAGACCCTCACCACCAAAGGTGCCGTGCACCTCTTCTTCCAGGACTGGTACTGCGAGAACGGCCTTCCGCTCAAAATCATCTCTGACCACGACACCCGCTTTGACAACCAGCTGTGGTGCACATTCCACAAGCTTACCGGCATCACACTCGTCATGTCCTCGTCCTTCCACACCCAGACCAACGGTGCGTCTGAGCAAATGAACAAGACACTTATCCCAGCCGTACGCCACCACGTCGACCACCTCCAAGACGGCTGGGCCGACGCGCTACCTGCCGTTCGCTTTGCCATCTGAAACACCACCTCTGCATCCACCGGCTACGCCCCTTTCCAGCTTCTTCTCGGCCACCGCCCTCGCATACTCACCCCCATCATGGATGCCCCCACCGCGGCTGCTTGTACTGCTGAATTCAGTGCCAACAAGGCCGCCACCGCGGCCATGCTCATTCAACACATGGCCACCAAATTCGCCAAAGCATGCGACAACCTTATCATTGCCAAGGCCGACCAGGCTGTGCCTGCGAACAAGAAATGCGCTGCTGAACACAACGATCTCGACAAAGGCTCCCTCGTCATGCTCTCAACCTACCACCACTGCCACGAGTACGTCTCCACCGGCGAAGACCGTGTGGCGAAGTTCTTCCCCCATTGGGGTAGACCTTACCGCGTCACCCAAGCTCACCCCGAATTATCCACCTACACCCTCGAAATCCCCAAAGCCGTGCTGAAGGCCTGCCTCACCTTCCACTCGAGTCTTGTCAAGCCATACATTGAGCCCAACCCAAACCTCGTGCCAGACCACACCTTACCCTGCCCCGGACCTGATGCCAATAGCGAGCACATTGTATGTGACATCATTGCAGAGCGACGCCGCAGCTGTGGCAAACAGTACAAGGTTCGCTGGGAAGGTTATGGTGACACGGACATGGAATGGCTTCCGGGCTCCGTGCTCAAGAACAACACTGTTCTCGATGCCTGGGAAGCACACCAGTGTGACCTCAAACTCAACAACACCGTCCACGACCAACAGGACGATGCGCCCGTGGCCACTGTCTTCCTCGACTGCTTCTACCCACCCTGTCTCATTCTCAAATAATTTCACTGCTTCTGAATTGCTTGTGCTCATGCCTCTCGCTCTCCTTCCCACCAGGGGGTCCATTCTTCTGAAGGGGGGAGTGTGTAAGCCTATGACTTACAACGTCTCATCTCTCATTATCACATCTTCATCTTATCTTCCATTATCGGACATGTTCAGATTCCTCACATGACTCTTGGTTTGTATTCCTATGTACTCGTACATATACTTGCTACACTCGATACTCGTACCTCACCTTTTCCTGGATTCTGGTCTCCTCTTCTTTTACTCTACAAAATACGCACAATTCCTGTCACCTTTGTGTGATCTCCGCATCTCTCCTCATTAGTAAGAACTGCCCCTGAGGCCAGTCCTACAGTATGATCATTAACCGTTTCCCATCCCCCATTTTGGCCCTGTGGAATATCTTATATATGTCTGCTTCCATTATATTTCCCAAACTGTGCACCACATTCTGAGTATTGCTGTCCCTCAATCTCCATGCTACATGTTTATAATAGTCTATATAAGCCTGCCCCCATTGATCCATACCCCCAACCGTGCAGCCAATCCTCTATCTCACTATCCTCCATCCTCCATCCTCCGTCCTCTGTTCCCCGTCCTCTATTTTTTAGGGCTCAGAGTGTATTATATTTCTAAGTAAAATAAAAAGTTGCTATATATAGTGAATTTGAGATTTTTATGATACACTTATTCTTATAACAGTATCTTGTCAAACTACCTTGCTCCTAGGAGAAGCATAGTCATCTTATCAGGGAGCATTCATGTGTTTCCAGCTGTTGCTCTCAATATTCCGCCAGACCAGCCTCAGCCTCTACCCCCCGCACTCTCCCCCGCATTCTCCCCCGCACTCTCCTCCGCACTCCGTGCTAGGCGGGGGCGCGGGGTACCCATGCTGCAGACCATAGTTGTTCACAATTAAGCGTGTTTCTGTGCCTTAAATCACACATGTCTGAGTGTGGTTTGAGGCCAGTGTTGCTAAAGGGGGTCTAACTCTGGCCCAGATGATATAGCATGTATGGGCTGTCTGGCTTCACTGCTGGTGATCTTATAGCTTAGATAGTCTTGGGAAGGTGTTGGGATGGTCGGGAAGGTGTAGAAGCTGTAAGGAGGGACTCTACAAGCCTCTCGAATGGCAGATATGGTAAATTTTATATGCTTGGCATTGCACTGGTTGTCAGTATACATGTGGGATGTCTGAGACAGATAGTAGGCATAGGAAACCTCAGAGTGTGCTGGGAAGGGCTCGGGATGGTCGGGAAGGTACAGAAACCGATGGGAGGAAGTGCCAATTGTTAGAGAGTGACATTAACAAATATCTGGTTAAATGAAACTTGTAACAGTGTCCTACGCATATGCAGCATGCATCATGGACTCAATAGTCATGGGAGGTCAAAGGGATCACCGGGATGTCCTCAGGAGGCTCGAGAAGTAGTGGAGAGTACTAGGAAGCAAAGGGAAGGGCTTAAAAGAGCTGGAAAACATCTTGTTAATTGCTAGACATTGTATCAATGTTCTGAGTGAGCACATCTGACCTGAGTCAAGGAATAGTTATTGGAGGCTGTCAGTGGTCCCGAGAGAATGTCGGGAAGGTTGGAAAGTGGTGAGGACTACATGACTGACTTGTGGACATTTCGAAAATGTGTTCACTTCAGCCACTTTTGAAGGTCAGTAAATTGAGGGAACTGTTCAATAGATTTGATGTAGCTATTGCACCAATAGCATTCATAGTGGTTATGATGCATGTGTACTGGTATGTCACACTATGTCACATCAAAGTAGCCTTCCCAAACTTCCCGACCTTTTCAAACTTCCCGACATTTGTTGAGAATCTTCTAAATTGGGCAAAACATAGCAGTATACAGGTACGGATACAAGGTTTCATGCAATGCTACTCATCTTTGTACATATAGGACATGGTCAAATCCTATTTCAATCAGTAGCTGGATCATTGCATACAAAATTGTTATAGTGCTTGGTATGCGATCAGGGGCTCGGGAAGGTATATGTTGTCGGGATGATGATCCTTGGTCCCATATTTCCTCTTGTATCAATCAGAATGTACCTATCACCTGTTACACACTGTGTCATGAGTATGAGGTCTACTACTATTATAGATTTGGTAGACCCGACCCATATCAGGGGATGCTCGGGAAGGTCGGGATGCAATATGCAGTCGGGGTACCTATTTCTGTAGCTAGCTTTCTTTGGTCATCGGCAAGATAGCCCATATCACCCTTTTAATCCAGTAGTATGGTTGTGGTATATGCTGTGTACTATTTGCCCAGTGCCCTGAGCTGCATCCCGAGCTTTCATTAGGAATGCTCGGGTTCATCCATGATCTTGGGACAACAGTGGATACTGATGTAAGCCTGTCTACCACTACTCAAACTACTGGTATAGGGTCTATGACCATACACTACACAGTATACCGCTCTATGAGCCCCTGTATACCAGTTCTAGTAGGTCATTAAATAGGTCAGAACCGTCGGGAACCAGCTTTCGGGAAGGTTTTTTAAGTTCGGGACTGCTCAGGACAGTCAGGATGCTAGTGTTTTTACTGTTTTGGACACCCACAGACTACTATTACCCTATAGCATTACCAAATTAGGCAAGCAACAGTACTTTAATTTTGCTTCCCGACTGTCCCAACCACATGACCCACCCTGCCACAGCCATTATATCTGAGTATAACACCTCGTCCAGCTGGATCCTGATCCACGATCACATTCGGGCATTCCACCGTCCCGGTCCATGGTGGTATTGTGAAGTACAGCAACATAGGGTCCAACCTGCTGATGCTGGTATCATCCATGCCTTTAAGGCCCACTATTGTTGCCTCTTCATGCAACGCGCACTCGACCGTTATGACCAGGGCATCACTCCTAGTGAGATCTATGTCATCAATCAGCTTGAGGCTATGCGCCTCACTGATCTTGCCTGGAAAGTGGTCACTGAGGATACCATTTGCCACTGCTGGGAGAAGACAGATATTCTTCCTGATATGTCTACTCCTCCTCCTACCTCCAACCCCCTTTCTGAGCTTGAGTGGTCTATGTCTGACTCACTTGATGCACTTGAGGAATGTGATGTGCTTCAGAAGAACAACCACATTGACCTTGAGGAGCTTGTCAACTCAGCTGCTGAGCAGATTGTGGTAGAAGAGACTTTAGAGGAGGAGATCTGCTCAGCTGTTCTTGAATGGCATGTAGAAGGTGATGTCATTGCCATTATTGATGATGAGCCTGAGACATCACTTCCTAGCTGCACAGATGCATTAGCTGCTGTTGCTACACTTCAGCAGTATATTTGGGTGTTAATGGGGACTTTGCGTGTAGTATAAAGAAGATACCGGCTGACTTTGGTTGCCAGACTCGCCTAGAGGGCCTTAAGAGCCTCAAGGATACCTCTATTACCTAATATTTCAAGTCTGCTTAATATAGATGTTCTCAATACTGTAGATTTCAGACCAAGTGTTCGTAACGCGAAACGGCCGGTCGCCGGCCAAACGCCGGGCTTGTTTGCGTAATGCGTAACGCAGGCCCGCCGAACACGAAAACGTTACACACCGTAAACAAGTAATTCTATGTATTAGAAAGCAGAAATACATAGAGAATGTCCAAAACAGTCATAAAAGAGGGTATACGGAAACGTGGGGACGACTAATGCATGCCGTAGTCCTTGTACTGCTTCTTCGCAATCTTGCGACGTTTACCACGGCCCATCTCCTCCTCGGCATGATGCTCGTCAACACCTGGCTGCTCGGAGTCTGACGTAAGCCCATCCGCGAGCCCTTAACCGATAGCGGGAGCAGTTGAAGGCTGCTCGCGCGGGGCGAGGATGTGCTCCATGAGATCAGCAGGCCGCATACCAGAGTCGTCACCAAAATCGGCCTCATTATTGTACATGATGGATGACGCATCTTCGTCATCTGAAGCCGGTGCATCCGAAAGCTCAGCCTCATCAACGAGGTCGGGCATACCAAGGAGCTCGTCATCAGAGTCCGAGTCCTCACCGCTGCCACGAGCGTAGTCTGCAGATATCTTTGCCCACAGTGCTGGATCCGAGCGCGGGAGTTCCCGTGTTACGGACACCCGATTATCCATTATCTTTTTCCTTTTCTTTTCCTTTTTCCGGACTCTCACGTGACTCGGCAA